TATGTATATTTCCTAATGAATTACCCCGTATAATAACCATAGTAACTATAAACTTGCGAATTTTTGTCGAATTTTCTAAACAAACCTATTTCTAAAAAAAAAATGTCCACTATACGCCTACAAAAAATAAAGCTTAATAAAAAAATCTAACGATATTATATCGGGCGATCCTGAGGGCCGTTCAATTTTAAATTTTATATGAGCAGACCGTTTCAAGATGTGAATATTTATGTCATTATTATTAGCTATGTTTGGAAAAATCCATCCGGGCTTTCCAAACATATTTCGAAACATAGTTTATCATAAAATATAGGTAAAGGACCAATAAACTACGATCCAATTTTGTTTTATTTTGATGTACAGAGTTCAGGTTTGCTGAGACATTTTTTGGGCCGAAAACTAATTAACTGTCCCGTGAGCACACCTCTGGAATTACTGGATTAACTGTAATATGTTCGAAAGACACCTCATAAAGTTTTCAACAAACAGATAGATAGATTAGATAGATAGATAGATAGATATTAATATATAAAACAATTTTTTTAAAATTTAACCCCTGTACAGCAAAAACAAAACAAAATTGGACTATGTTTTATCGAACAAATTAGCTTTATTTTTCGACAAACTATCGGCTGGTAAATTCTTGACAATATAAACTGGACCACCCGAAATATTATAAGTGTTGAAGTCCAAACGACAATAATTCGCAAATGTATAATGTTACCGGCATTATTATAATATTTACGGTGTTTACAATATCCCTGCGACACAAGCATAAAGTATAGAGACAAGAGTTTCAGCGGAACGAACCAAAATGAAGGATGTAGAACAAATTCAAAATGCGCTAGACTAATTGGGCCAAGACTAAATTACACCTTCGAGACCAATATAAGTGCAACCCCTACAGAAACGTAAATTAACTATCATAGACCAGTCAAAGTAGATAAAAAACTATTTTCTATAAGCATATTGTTTTAAATATGGTAACAAATAAACATGATTTTAAGTGTGATACTGAATTATGTTACCGCAAACCATATTTGACATTTGATCGACTTATCTTAATGTAAACATTTCGGAATTATCCAACCCAATCGTTAAATATTCGCATTAACAAATTACCCTGCTTACGCTATAACCGTCTGTCGTACATAATACATACCTCAGGGATATGATTTGGGTCCACTTATATGCTTATTTTTTATTAATGATCTTTCTAATAAAATTGATCTTTTAAAAATTAAAGCTTTTAGTTAAAATTAGACCGAGGTTATAAAAAGGAAAAAGGTTTTAAATATATTACAATTAAAAAAGTTTTTTAATAATAATACTCTTCCTATAATTCACCCACTTACGAGTTAACCCCTGGAGTTCTGAGGGGTGGCTATTATTATTATGGTCCTGGCTTTCTTTCTTCTCCTGGGAGTCGATGCTAGAATTGTATACACCTTGTCCCACGTAATGAAGAATAAATTAATTTGTATTTTCGCCGATTTCTAGGTATACATAATCGAATATGCTCTTTTAAATTAAAATAGAATGAAATCTGTGCAACTTCCGGTTATACCTGAAGTGACCATTAATTTCGTTATTTTAAATAGAATAATACCCTTATATATCTTAAATTTCAGATTCAACATGAAATTCTGTAAACAATAATACCCCATTTGCTTATTTGAATTCTAGCGGATTTAACGTTATTCCTTTTTTTCAAAATGTTTAGTCGCGGGTAGACATTTTCTTAAAGTCGTCTATCTCAGGTAATATTTCTAACAGATACTTGAAATTTTAGCCAGAAGTAGTAGATGGAAAATTATTTTTAAAAATAAAATATTTTAAATATGAAAAACTTTTTTATTTTAAATGGAACACCCTGCATCTTTTTATATCATTTATCACATAATATTATTAGTTACAATTTAATTTAGATTTTTTTATCGTGATAATGTACTAAATGACAATCTGTCAACAAATTGAATTGTCATATTTTTATTAATTTAAGTTGTGGTGGGTTTTTGCGTTTCAAATATGGAGAACATTGAAAAATATACCAATCAAGATATTCGGAATTCATTTTATATTCATGGGGGGAATGTAATCGAATCAAACGTAGAACCTGCTGTACGTTTAATGAACGATACCCTTAATTACTACCAATATACAAACAAAAATTTGATAGAATCAAAGCTAACTTTTTGAATAATTTTAAACAAAACCCGAGAAGAAACCGTCTACATTATGTCCGAGAAGAAGTTAATGTAATAGGGTATTTCACTGCGTATCTTCGCTCCTCCATTAGAATGGCTCAACATAATTTAAATATTAGTCGAGGGTCAATACAATGAATTTTATAACAAAATAAATGCACATATAAGAAGAACTGAATTATGCGAATGGTTATTGGTGCGAAATCAAGAAGATCCCCAAATTTTAAATAAAATTTTGTGGTTAGACGAGTCAAAATTTAGCCATAATCGTTAGCAATGTCATTTCTGGGCAAACGAAAACCCACATTTTTATCGTGAAGCACAATTTCAGTTAATGTGTCTGCAGTGATCTTTTTGGAAGGGCTTTCTATTACATTTATAATGAAAGACTGACCTCAGAAGGATTCATTAGAATAATTCTTAGAGAAGTAGTTGCCAACATTCTGAACCAGCTACCAAATAATAATTTTTGTGCCAGTTGGATGGTGCCCCAGAACATTCAACATACGCTATAATTCGAGAAATTACAGCACTATTTGAAGACCGATCGATAGGTCCGAATGATCCTTGGCTTTGGCCTGTAAGATTATCAGATCTAAATCCTGTAATTTTTTTGTATGGGGTTATATTAAAATAAATACAAGAATTAGAACAAAGAATTTGGAATGCGTTTAACGAGTTAGATGGTGAAATTATTCGTAAAGCAACAACTAATCATGTTAAAAAAAGATTGTTGAAATGTCTGGATACTAACGGGAGCCATTTTGAACACTAAAATGATTACCTTTAGGGTGTTTCATTTTTCATGTTATTTTCATACGACTTTGCTTATACCCTGAGTCTAAGTGAAAAAAAATATATGTCAAATTTCAAGAAGATTGGATAATATTTAGGGGTTGAACTAGGGATGCGCGATACGATCCGATATTTCAGAGTATCGATACTTTTACGTCCGATACTCGATATTTTGTATCGATACTTTGCTTTACGATATGTTGCAAGTATCGATACATTTCTACTGTATCGATACCTTTACGATCCGGGATTTTGGTTGGTGGCGGATCGGGGTGGCGTCATCTACTAGCAAAACGAAAAATTAAATACATTTACGCAACCGTTATTCATCGTTTGCAGTTTCTGTAAAAATGCATATACTTGATAAAATCGTATCGTTGTATGAAGATATCAACAACGATCGTATTCTAATTTCTTATGAGCACAGTATCGTTCTATCCTCTGTCTGTCCTCTGTCAGTCAGCTGTCAAGTGGGCTGAGTGAATCCCTGAAATATTTTCGTGTTATAAGTAGCTACTATTTTTTTATGTAGTTAGGAGTATCTAAAATAATTGGTTTGTTTTATCTTTTGATTATGATGTAAGCCGCACAATTGTGCTGTGTACTTTGTGCGTTATTTTATAGGTATTGATCTTGTACATAATTATTTTTAAAATGGTGAATAAATGTTTTAAATAAAAAAAAAAAAATATGATCTGTCTGTCTTCAATTTATTACTACCTGTCAAACTGTCAAGCCCTAATAAAGTGGAAATAACTGAAATAACTACTAAAAATCTCGGATCGTTAAAGTATCGATATTTCGAGTATTCGATATTTTACTGTATCGATACTTTACGTTCCGATCCGTATCCATACCTGATATCGATACTTTTAAGTGTATCGCGCATCCCTAGGTTGAACACATTGATCACTTCTATCACAAAATGTCTAATATTCACTAGTAATCTTTGATCTTTACATGTATTTCTTTCATTTTTGCAGGTAATTGAGCTTTAAAATGGAAACCAAAAGAGGAAAGTGGTTGCTACAAAAGGTGCCTAGTGGTCAGTTTTTAGGAACTCGGCTCCCTTCAAAGTAACAAGTACTATTAGATTTTATTTACCATCATAAGGATATGAAACACTTTCGGAAGCTGCTAAATCTACCAGTACTAAACTACAGGACGCGTGGAAGAAAGCAGGTATCCCTGTTAAGACAGAGGAAAATATACGAGCTGCTATTCAGAAGCTATACAAAGAATTTCAAAATCTAGGTAAAACGAAATCTAGAAACACTGATAAAGCTAACATGAAACGGCAGATTTGAAAAGGTAATCTTGTCGAGTTATTTGACATTTCCCAGCAAAATGTGATGGAAATGATAAGCTTATCGGAATAAGATAAAGCATTTCTTAGATAAAAAAAAGAAGACCGAATGAGTTCATCAATGACTGGAGTAGACAAGGTTTTCGTCTCCAAAATAAGAACTAACTGTACAAAAGAAGACAAAAATGGTTCATATAAGAATAAACATTACAGAGCTATAGCTCAAATGAATAGGACAGTAATACTGGAAGACTCATCTTCATCATCATCATCCGCACCTAGTGACGAAGAGGACGAATTTTTGCCTCCAGCAAAGAAAAAATTACGTTCACGTCATAGATTAAAACCTTTGGTTCAAACACTCACGTCTACTTGGGATCGAGAACAACTCTCTAATTAGGCAAGCAAATACCTCTTTTATAGCAACTGCAAAGAGCATTGGCCACGATGTTTCAAAAATTTTTGTACCTCCATCCACCGTTTACCGAGCTCGGGTGGTCAATAGAAAAAAAAATGGCAAGAAAAATCGAGGAGACGCTTTTTGAAAATCCTCCTCCTTTGGTCTTGCATTGGGATAGTAAATTGTTGCCCTCAGTTGCCCATAGGAATGTCAAAACTTTGGAAGATAGAGTTGCAGTTCTAGTGAGCATTTGCTAGGAGTACCTGTTGCCCAGAAAGGCACCGGTGAGCAGATGGCTGAAGTAGTTATTCGGGACATGCATCGATTTGGGTTAAGTGACAATATCATCGGTATCTCTTTTGATACTACATCGTCTAATACAGGACTGATCCAATGGGCATGTACCAGAATTGAAAGGAAATTAGGACGAATATTGTTGTGGTTGGCTTGCCCTCATCACACTCAGGCACTAATATTAAAAGGAGTGTTTGAGAAGTGTTGTAGCATACCATCAAGTGGCCCTGACATCCAGATCTTTCGAAAGTTCCAAAATATATGGGCTTCACTTGATAAAAAGTCATATACGACAATGCTGGATGAGAAACGTCCCGTTCAAGGCTTAATAGAAACACAACGAGTGAAAATGATTAACTGCTTACAAAATGTCATAAAAGACGCAAGTCATCCAAGAGAAGACTACAAAGAGTTATTACAACTATCACTTTTGTACCTAGAAGGTTGGTCTCAAGACGAATTCAGTTTCAGGATCCCAGGAGTTCTGCATAAAGCAAGGTGGATGACAAAAACAATTTAGGCACTTAAAATTGTTCTCTTCACTAAACAGTTGAACGAGAATTGAAAAGAATGAAAAGGGTTGCACATTTTGTCAACCTCATATATGTTCGCTTTTGGCATGAAGCAATTTTAAGTCGATGGGCTCCAAAAAATGATTTGGATAAGCTGCAGCTTCTGAATATTTACCCAGATATATGTAGTCAAAAAAGTGCTCTTACTGTTGCTAAGAGACACCTGTGGTATCTGTCATTAGCTTTTTGGATGAACGTATTAGTATGAAGGAAAAGACCTGAGCCATTTCATCACTAGTAAAATGTTCTTTGAATTGTTTGGAATTAATAACGTGAAAGAATATTGCAGTGATTCTGTAAGAAGTCAAGTGGACGCTCTTAAAGAAAGAGTAATTGCTCTAATAAAGAAATTTAACGAATCGGACAGAGATGAACCACAAAAACAATTATTGCTCAGGGTAGTGGAGCATTATAGAAAAGTCGTCACCAAGCGAACTAAGCAAGGGATTGCATCGTTCAAACTTGAATAATATAAGACATGTTTATCCTATCTATTACCTAATAATCTTAATAATATTACCTAATAATCTTCATTTGTAGTTTTAAGTTTGAGATTTATAGTTTTAACAATAAAAATAATTAACATTGAAAAGTCGTATTTTTTGCATACTTTTATACAACTGATCAAAGTGTGCAACCTTTATATATTGTCCAATCTTGAAATTTTGCATACATATCTTTTAAGCAAAGTCTGTAAAAATTTTACATTTAATTTTTTTACTTGCAAAATAAAACACCCTAATGATCCTCTTATGTTTTTTTTTCAATTCCACTTTTAATAAAAATTGTTTTTCGTTAGTGTGTACTTTATCAAAAAATAATAACTATTAAATCTTTTAAAAATACATATTTTGTACAGCAAATAGAAAATATTTTTAAAAAGTACATCCCAATTACTACCTCTTGCTATGTATATGATAAAAATAGTACTTGAGATAGACGACAAATGTCTACCGACGACTGAACATTTTTAAATAATTGAATAACTCCAAAACCGCTAGAATTCAAATAGGCAAATGGGGTATCATTATTTACAGAATTGCATGCTAAACCTAACACTAAAAAAAATATAGGTTGTTCCATTTAAAATAAAAAAGTTTTTTATATTTAATTTTTTTTTTTTTTAATAATTACCAAACACTCCGTACAACAAACGATGTCAGAATCCGCACTCTGCAGAGGGTGCGAACAAGAAGATGAGACCATCGAGCATATCCTTTCATTTATGCTCGACGCTCTCATTTATTAGAAGATTTGTGTTTGGCGAGTATCGGCTAACACCGGCCGATATAAGAGAAGCACCTCTTGGCGACGTTGTCAACTACATTAAATTTGTAGGCTGGCTCACGAGCTGTCTATCTTCTCAAGGATGCACAATGGGCCAAAGTGCCGTGGGGTAACAAACCCTCCACACATTTCAGATACAGAGATAAAAGTAAATATTTCTGAAAACTACATCCCATCTAATACCTCTGACTAAAATTTCAAGTATCAAATGGAAATAGTACCTGAGATAGACGACTTTGAATAACGCCAAATCCGCTAGAATTAGAATAGGCAAATGGGGTATCATTGTTTACAGAATTTTATGCTGAATATCAAATTTAAAAAAAATATAGGATTTTCCATTTAAAATAACGAAGTTATAGGCCACTTCCGCTATAACTGGAAGTCGTACACAGTTCATTTAATTTATTCTCCATAAAGTTGTAATGCCCGCCTTACGTGGACACGGTGTATACGCCACCCAAAAAATAGTCATTTATTTTTTAAATCAAAAATATTCTTTATTTTGAAACCTCTGCAAAACATGATTTATTTTATTGAAATTAAATTTTTTCACCCTACGAGTAATTGTGATTTAATGATGAACAATTACCGACAAGACGGCCTTGTCCCTTTTTTAAATGTCTCCGAGAAGCAGCAGTGAACTTTATTCATCGACTTGCTAGCAGGGTTACCAACCGTCCGTCATTATGACGGAGAGTCCAGCATTTAAATAGTGTGTCCATCCGTCCGTCCACCAAAGCATAATAAATGACCGTCCAGGTCGCCCAGAACACATTCGTAAATTTGTTAGGATTGTAATTTACGAATTATCACACGAATTGATAATATTTATTAAATTTATTATTTATTACTGGGTCAGTGCCAAAAGCTCAAACTTTAACGCACTCTTTGGCAATATATCCAGTCGAAATCGGTACGCACCAGAGATAACAGATATATAACCATTCATTGATAAAATATAATATTCACGATGCCAAGATTAATTCGACAATCGATACACTCTATTTGTAGGGACGCGGCGAAGAGAAGAAAGGTGAGAAGTAAGAGAAGGGATAAAGAGAAGAATTTTACGCAGATACAACTTATTTTTATTAATGAATAAATGTGTAAGCCGCTGTGCGCTTATAATAAACAACGTAAATATCCATGCCGGTGTAAGCCCTGTTGCCACTTCCAACCTAACATAACTAGGTTTTGGAATTTATTGAAAATTATTATCTAATTTAGGGAAATTACATCTAATGATTCAAAATTTTTTAGATTCAGTTGCAATAAAATAGCTTGAATTATTTTAGCTTTTTTAATATATGTAAATAATTTTGTAAACAAAACGAGAATAATGAAATAGGCATATGACAACAGCGGATATTATACCCTTCTGTGTCCCTTAGAAAATGTCTTATTCATGACCGCACGATATTTGTTAGTAGTTACATTTCCTGTTATCTCTGGTACGCACTCTTTGGCCTTCATATCAGGTGGGTGATCTTCAATGCTCTTGCACGGTGTGCGTGCGTGTGTGTGTATTCAGTCAGTATAGATGTTTGTTCCTGCTGTAACGTAGTCTTGCTCTGTTGTATGGTGTGCTGTGCTGTGAACGCAGTGTATTTGTGTTTATTATTAACTTTTAAAATGGGTGATTCCAATACAGTGCCGACAGTGGCAGCAGTGATACACATAAAGAGAAAACCCCGACAAAAATGGCTAAACGACTTTATTTTAATTTTAAGATTTTTTTTTAGTTCAGTTTTTTGTTTTTTTTTTCTGTTTGAAATTTGTGACATAGGTATTCTTTTTTTAAACCTTAAATAAAAACTTTGCGATTAACTAATTATTTGTAGAAACACCTCAGACTATCTTCACCAAAATTAGGTACTGAATTCTTAAAAAATTTGTAATTTCGATTAAAAGAATGAAAATGTACTGAGTTGTTTTTACTTCCCTTTATTTCCCCTGAAATCCCTTGTCTGTCTGTCATATGTCTTTCAAAAACCTGGCAACCCTGCTTGCTAGCCATATTTATTCATCTTGTTTATTACTTCTAATAATTATTCTGATTCTCAATCATTGGTCAATATCTTTAATGTAATAAATGACTTAAAAATATGTGTCATTTGATGATATCAGAGTTACCCATAACATAAGTTTTAATTGTTATATTAAATCAACAATAAAACAAAATTCTTCAAATTCTGTCGTATAAAAATAAATACACTGAGATGTCAATCGAATGTCAAGATATATCGTAAAAAATAATACAATATAACTATTTTTAACGCATCAATTTTATTCGATCCAACTTTGACTGGCCTATAAATCCCTCCACCATAAAAAACTAGTGCCCCAAAGCGAATACGATCTTTAAGGTAAGTACATACTCGATGACCAGTCTATGAACTGGTCGCACCCAACCTAGACAGTCGTCTTTCTGTAAACAAAGTAAAAAAAAGATTAATTAAATTGGACGGGGATGAAAGAAAAACACCCTCCTTTCGGTGATCGACTATGTCGCCCCGCAGCTTTCCTTGGTTGGAAGAGAATAAACATAATTAAGTTAGAGTGAAATTAAATAATAACAGTAATTCGATACATACAAAATTGTAACCGTCTTTGTTTTAGACTTCTTTTCCTTTTAAAGTAGTTCAATTAAAATACTAAATAGTTTGATAATATTTAGTGCGTAATGAAAATAAAATATCTTTTGTGGTAGACATATTTAATTTTAAGAACCATGACAAAATCTCCACGTAATTCATATTTCTTCTTTCTTTTGTCATATCACCAATACACGTTGTCACGTTAACCTAAAATATTTGTGTCTAAGAACCGAGCCTCTGACCTTTGACGATTATTGATTATCTTGAATATCCTAGGCTTTGGACAGTATTTAGACAAGATTCGTCCACTAGAAATGATCACAAAATTGGACAGTCTTGTGGACGACCACACGTAACTTGTCTTCCCAAAGTGGATATGATAGTCCTTTTATCATAGCTGGTATTGATCCATTGCTATATTATTATTTGTCTATAATGTTAGGTAATTAGTAATTGACTCGATTAGGGTATTATTAAACACATTTTGCCTTTTCAGGAATCCCTCTTCAGCCACTTCCTCCCCTCAATCAGGCTTGGGGTCCAGTCTGCTTTCCGTCTTCTGGAATTCGCAAGGAGGCATTATTATGCCACCGTTTGGATGTCCTACTCCTTCTCATTCATTCTACGGTTTAAGTGGGCTTCGAGCTGTTTAAGCTCGGTTACCCATTCAAGCCGTAACCAGGCCATCATTACTGGGTACATATGATTGATGTTTTACTACCTTCCGCAGCTTCCAGTGATACGATTATTGAACACTTTGAGATGACTATGATTGTGTTAAGCAAACATTTTCTTGTGTTAAGCAAATATTTTCTAACCCACATATTTTTTAAATGGGAGATTATTATTGAAAAAGATTGCTTAAGATGTCATCTATAACAAGCATTTGCTTTTCTAGAACCATGTATGATACTTTATCCTAACCAACAAATTCTAAACAAAGTACTGAACAGAGACCTAGTCCAGATCAAATGGAATACACCA